ACAGACAGATAGGATTAGGTAGGTAGGTAGTTATAATAGTATGCCAAAGGAAGACTTGAACAAAGCTTAAAGATTAGGAAAGTGGGGGAAAAAAAGCCATTAAAATGTAAAGATGAGGCCTTCAGATGTAAAAATAAACATTTTATGGCTTAGAAAGGGTCTGAGGCTTGGCTAGCTCAATTGTATATAGGGAAAGACTCCCAAAGACAATGAATTGCAAAGGCACAGGCTAAATTCATGTTTTTGTGTCTTGCCAATCATCTGCATAAGACCACAGTTGGAGCCTGGGAAGGATAAATGCCTAAAATGGGATTATTCACCATAAGTTCACATAAGGAGTCAGGGTATCAGCTCTATAGCGGGGAGGACGGTCAGACAGGAGAAGCTAGTACCTACTTTGGTAGATAGGTACCACCTGGATACTTAAAGGCTATATGATTCCATCAATGTAAGAAATTCTCTCCCTCCAAGGCATCTGTTACCTATCTGTGCCTTAGGCAAGTTCTGGTATGTTGCCTGTTACACAGCCATTGGCCAATATTCAAACAATCAGTAAGGGTCTTCTGATCTCTCCTGCTTCAAGGTTCAGTCTTCTTTCTACTACAAACAGGACACAGAGAGGTGGGATGTACTCTGACATGTGTTTGCCATGTTTTTTACCCTCTTTGTGTATAGCAATCCTGCATCAGAGCTCCCTTTGTATTCAAAGGGAAGGGATTTGGCTGAAAAATAACTCAAATGTGTACGATGCTGGGCCAAATTCTGTTCTGGAGAGACTAATGCATTTCCCATGGACTCACAAAATGAATAATGGATACGACACAGGGAGGCCAATTTAGATTTGGTTTCAGTTGCTTGAACAGGCATCTGGTAGTGTGGGGGTAGTGGCATGAGTGCTCCATTTGGAGTCCAAAGGCCTGGCTAAGAATCTTGGCTTTTCCACTTCCATGGGTATGTCCCTTCTTCCCTGACCCAGTTCTGTGATCTACTGCTGCCCCTACCCACCTGTACCCGTGAAGTTTTATAGAATTCAGAGTGAGAAGGGGGTTTCAAGATCATATAGTCAATACCCTTAATAGCTCCTTAGAAGAGCATAGACGCTAAAGGGCAGGAACTAGTTCGTGTTTATCTTTCTGTTCCCAATACACAAATGATTGAAAGCTATTGAGAAGACAAAAATCCTACTGTGCTTTTTAATCTGGTAGAACAAAATTCCACCTTAACTAATCACTTCCAATAAGGCATCTTCTACACAGGTGCTATAATCACACAAGATTCCTTGAAAAGATATAAAAACAAAAGTTACTTTGTTCAATGATCCTTTGATGATGTAAAGTCATAAAGCAGAGGGATGTATGCTTGCCAAAGGTCTTTACCACTGATGTGATAAACATCTCTCAAAGAATCCAAACAGAAGAGGAATTCCCTATTGATGGTGAGGTCTTCCATTATACTCCTATTTGTTGATTACTATATGATCAATCTCTGAAACATTGCAAGGCCTCCTAAATAATATCCAAGTCCCTCAAATTTGCAAGGGAAATGAAGAATGATGATATCCAATTGGATATTCAATCTACACAGCTCATGCATCAGTATATTTTTCTAGGAACAACACTTCAGATGGCCAAAAACTGGGACCAGAGTTGAATAGGTTGGGCAGCATTTGGGGAAATGTGAAGTGCTTTTTTTTTTTTTAGGCAATTGGGGTTAAGTGACTTTCCCAGGGTCACACAGCTAATGTGAAGTGCTTTTAATGGTCCTAATCTTCTTCCTGAAATGAAAGCCCACTTTTGTTTTAATATCAATATTCCTTCTGTGATTCCATATGAATTTAAATCATTATCTCCAAAGAAATGAATTTGTAGACCAGTTATTAAAAGTAATGGAGAAGTACATGGTACACCTAATTGGATACAACATATCACCATCAAAGTACTATAAAGGAGAAGTGAAATAAAAGATATTGTTAGAAATAAGCATTACTAGAAAAGGAGGTGAGATAGTTATGCAGCGAAAATGAGAGGTAACCAATGGAAATTCTGCCTCTTTCACTTATGCTCATATAATGATAAGAGTAGAAGGCCCTCATCAAGTTGGATGGAACCCCTACAGAGCTGTAAAAGAGTGGAAGATAAAAGAAAGTGGATCTTTTTTTTTAAGCAAAGAATTTGAAAAGTCTTTCATGTTATACTTGTAGATAAGGTAGAAAAATATGGATAAATTACAGTGTAGTTAGATGGCAGCAGAGCTGGTTGCATGACTAGACCCAAAAAGATTCATTGAGTAACAAACGATAGTTATTGATATTGAGTAGATGTCAACTTTTAGGGAGATAACCTAATGGAGTGACCCAAAGAATTTGGTTTGTGTTTTCCAAAACTTTAATCAGTAATATAGATGTCACCATAGTTGGGAGGCATGAGTGTACTGGCAGTTTAGAACTATGAGCCAAATCAAAGAAGATGGAATTTAATAGGGCTAAAAATAATATTCTACACGTGGATGAAAACAAATATAGATTGTATATAGGCTAGACTACACTTACAATAAAGAAAACCTTGGGCTTTGATCCATTAGAAGCTCAAAAATAACTCAATGACAGCAACCAAATGTGTTGATGTTGATATTGATGATGATGATGATGATAATAATAATTAAAATAGTTAACATTTATATGGCACTTACTATGTGTCAGGCATTGTGAAGTTTCATAAATATTTTGTCATTCTATCCTCATAACAACTCTAGGAGGTAAATGTTATTATTCTCCTCATTGTTGCTAACCTAGGCTGCATTACAAGATGCATTATTTCCAGAATAAGGGAATTATTAGCTGTGATGGACTCTGCCCTGATCTGGCCAAATCTGGAATACTGTGCTCAGTTCTGGGCATCCCATGTTAGCAATGGCATAGACAAGAAAGAGCTGGTCTAGAAAAGGATAATCAAGATGATGAGAAGACTAAATTGGTTAAACAAATTGCGGAGGCTTTAGCCTGGAAAAGAGAAGATTTAGAGATGATACAAGAGTCTTCAATGAATGAATTAGTGAACACTGTGGTAAGCACTATGGATATAATACAAAAGAGACAGTCTCTGCTCTCAACAAATTTAGATTCTAAGGTGGGAAAACATATACAGAGAAGTGATCACAGTCAGGGAAAGGAGTTAAGATTGGGAAGTCAAAAAGAAGGTACCAAAGGATGGTCAATTACCCTCTACAGAGACAACAGTATCATTGATTTGATCAGAATTCTTATGTTTCACGGTCACATTCAAAGGCTTAGCTCCTCCCAGGCAAGGTCTTAGGTTGTCTAGGTTGGACGATGAAGCAGCAGAAAACGGCTGGGGTGAAGATGAAGCAGGAAGTATTTTTCAGATATGACTTGGATTAGATGGACCTTAAGATCCCTTCTTATCATTCAATGAAGCTGTGATTTTAATTAATGATTGTCTTCACAGTGTTTTATAGAGGGGTGTCATGAAGGGAGAATTTTATCAACTTTCAGAGTATTATAGAAATGGGACAATGAAGGACATACCACATCATCTACTGAGCAGATGTACATGTACCACCAGCATTAGACATAAGTGACTTTAAATAATAAGTTCATTTTGCCATAAAAACTATGACTTTAGAATGAGGTACAAAACTCTAGGTCAAAACATGATGAATGATTTTCATAGATTCTGGAGCTAAAAGGATCCTTTGGGATGAACACCCTTTGATGAAATCCACATTTCTTTCAAGTGGGCTATTGACTATTCTCTCACTTGTCATTCCATCTTCCGCTCTATGACTTTGTACTTCCTTTTCACCTCTTTAAATCTTCAGCTTCCTTCAAGACTCATCTGAGGACCATTTCCTTTTCTGATCTGCTCAGCTATCAGAGCCTCTTCCCTCCTCAAATTACCCTGTACTTACTTCTATCTTTGAACATATTGCATCCCTCCAGTAGAGTGTAACCTCCTTCAGGAAAGCATCTGTTCTGTTTTCTCCAAGAAAACATAGTTTCTCCATGGTTTCATGCGTATGGTTGGTACTTAATATTGAATTGAATCTCATGTCCTCACTTACAGATGGAGAAACTGAGATCCAAAAGGGGAAAGGTTGCTTATCTGAGTGTCAGGGCAGGCACTGAATCTCAGGTCTTCTGACTCCCCTCCAACCAAATTCAGGACTTTCCATTCTACTAAGCTGCCAGATACATGTTCAAATGAGGAGCATAATTTAAATCTGTTCTCATTATATAATTTCCAGGCCTTCTACATGAAATCAGCAGAAAACATATTTGTCATCTAAGAGAGAATTTTGCCTTGCAAAGAGCACATTTTTGTTTTTCTTCAAATTCCTTCCCTTTGAAGACAAAAGGGACTCTGAGGACAGACTAGTCATAAAGAAAGAAGGTGACAACATGGCAACAATTACTGGCATGGAGCAGAGCACATCCTGCTAAGCTTCAAGGAAGGAACACAGACTGAGCTACATCAGGGATGTAGCCTTCCTTCATAGCTCACCCTCCTCTTTCCCTTCCTGTAATTTCATCAAGTGCCACATTCTTCATCCAAAAGCCTGACTCCCACCCCCTTTGTCTAAAAATTACAGTCTAATCAAAATTAAATCTCTTTCCAAAGAGGCTATTGGGAATGAAGAGCAGCTCTCCTCACAGTTTTGTTTCTTAACTCTCTTAGGCAGTGGTTAATTACTGCAAAAATGGAGCTGAAATGACTATCTTGGTTGTATTGGGAAGGGGAGATGCATACCGAAGAGAACTATACCAGTAAACAAGTGTTTCTGAAGAGTATACTCTTGTGCAAGTGGGTCTTTTAGTTCAGAGGATTGAACCCATATCTTGTATTCCAGTTCTGGGACTGCTTTCTCATTTTACTTTTTGAATAATGAGAGTTCAAACCCCACTGTGGTGTTAGCAACAGAGGCATCTGGTGCAGCTGATCATTTCTAATTTAATTTGTGCAATGAGCTGCCCAAGATCCTACCTTTTGTCCCTGCACATCTGTTGTGATGTGGTCGGCTTCCCCATCCTCTATCTCCCCCATCTTCAAAAGATTGACTTCTATGGCACCAACAACTTTTCCACCATCGGAAGTTCTGAAACCAAAAACAAAAGGTGAGATCCTCCTTTAGCCCATATAGTGCCCAGGAAAAGAAGCTTTCCTTGAGGTAACATTTTCAATGCAGTCCATTTTGGAGGTTCTTTGGTTGTATTAAAGTAATTTCTTATAAACATAAAATGAATGCTAACAATGGGATATTTCTCCCATAAAACTCCATTTAATGAAATGAACCATAGATGTATAAGGAGAAGTCATGGGTGAATAAGCACACCTCATGAAGGTAAAATCATTTCATAAGTACCTATAATGTTAGGACCAAATGTTCTTAAATGGGTACACATTAACAGAATGCCAATTTTAAAATTTTTATTTTTTATCCTGCAAATCTAACCCTTAAGGATTGCCTCCCAATTAACAGCTACACGTAGAAAATACAAATAGTAAAACAAAGAAGCTACAGAAAAGGCAAATCAGTAAAAGATACTGTGTGGTGGAAAAGACTGCTAAATTAGGTACCACCTTTGTCACTATAGGAAAGTCACTTTTCCCTTCTCAGTTTTTTCATGTGTAAAATGTGGGCATTAGTATTACTGGGCATATACCCATTTCAGCCATCCAAAACTCCCCTCCATACCCTCCCAGTAAGTATATATTTCACTGAATTGAGGCCATTTGCTAAGAATTCCCTCTTATCCTCTACTCTTCATCACACATCACTCAGACGCTTTCCACCTCGTCTCACAAGAAAAAGTAGCTCATCTCATTCCCAAAGCTTATCCCAAACCATCCTGTCTTTTCCAGCAGACTTGTCTCCTCCCTTCCCCCCTCCCCATTATCCCTATTGCCTCACTAATCTTCAATCTCTTTCTATCTAGGGGTTGCTTCCCTATTGCCTATAAACATAGCCCTGACTCCTTATCTCTCCTCCCTTTTTGTGGCTTGACTGCTTGAGAAAGTCATCCATAATTAGCACCACTATTTCATGTCCTCTCATTTTCCTATTAACTTTCTTCAGTTGGGTTTATGACTTAACCATTCAACTAAAACTGCTGTCTCCAAATTTACAAATGATGTCATAATGGCCAAATCTAATGGCCTTTTCTGAATCCTAACCCTTCTTGTCCTCTCTGCAGCCTTTGACGCAACTGATCACCCTCTTCTCCTCAATACTGTCTTCTCTCCAAACTTTCCTTGCTGTACCTCACACACACAGGACACTTCCATCTCCTGACTTCTAGAGTGTTGCCAGGCTGTTCCCCATGACTAGAATTCTCTCCCTCCTCGTCTCTGAATCCTGACTTCTCTGGCTTCCTTCAAGTCCCAGCTAAAATCCCCCTTTTTATAAGAATCTTTTCCAATAGTTCCTATGTTGAATATCTTGAATTTATTATATATATGTATGTACACACATATATATACACACACACACAAATTATATGCATATATATATACAAATATATAAACATGAAAATAATTATAATCCAGAGAAAGAAAGAAAAGGACGGAAGAAAGGAAGATAAGAGATATAGATATGCTTTATTGGCTAATTCAAAGAAAAGGCCATTAAAGAAGTTTAGAGTTTCTTACACAATGATCTTTTTTATTCTTTTATTATCTATTTTTATAATTTTTTGTTGTTTATGTAATATCTTGATCACAAATTGTTATTTTATAACTAATATTTAAGTACTATAATCAGTCACATACGTATACATACATCTTGATTATTGAGTTATTTTCATGTTATCTCCTTCGTTAGATTGTGAGCTCTTTGAGAGTAAGGACTAATTTTTTTAAACTTTCTTTGCATCCCCAGACTTTATCACAGTGCCTCACACACAGTAGGTGCTTAATAAATGCTTGCTGACTAAGTCACAGAAAGGGCCATTACAAAAGTTTAGAATTTCTTACGTAATGATTTTTCTTAGCTTTCTTTATGTATTTAAGTTGTCTTATGATTGTTAATTCCATAATATAAAAAAATTAAGAAAAGGAACTCATACACCAAAATGTTAATAGCAACACTTTCCATGGCAGCAAAAAAGTAGAATACAGAACTTGTGTGCAATGGATGGAGCAGCTGAACAAATTGTAGTACATGAATGTAATGCATAATTATATAATGCATATATAAATGCAAATAGATACAGTGAACATAAGGAATCCAGAGAAGCCTGAGAATACCTGTATGAATTGGTGCACAGCAAGGCAAGCAAGATCAGAGAATAATATATACAATGACTACCTTAATGCTAATGAAAATAACAAGCAGAAAGGAATAAGTATTTATCTATCACCTACCATATGCCAGGTACTGTGCTAAGTGCTTTTTACAAATATCTCATTTGATAGGCAAAGAAGCAATGTAAATGCTCTAACATGGAAACTATAAGCAAAGAAAACTAACTCTCTACATATGTAAGTACATACATGCATACGTACAAATATGTATACATACATTAACATAGTCATATACTATATACACATTACATACACACATATACATTCACATACAGAAGTATATATACAATACATGTAAAACATATACACATGCTTACATAGAGATATGCATCCATATGTGTATATAATACATACATATTTATGTATGTATGTGTATATATACATATACACAAAAATAAAATTTAGAATAAAGAAAATAAAGTGAGGAATTTGAAAATTTAAAATCCCCTCCATCTTGACATTTATAAATAGAAATACTGCTTTTCTTCTTCATAAACTTCTTTTCAGCATCTCTTCCTTTTGACTCAGACTCTGACTTGGGTATTTTACCCCATTACAAGCAAAATGAAGGAGTTAGACCAGATGATTTTCAGGCTCTCTTCTAGAGAATTCTACAATTCCCAATGATTTCTATCATGTGAACTCTTTTACCAACCCAAAGTGCTAGGCAAAGAATAGTCTCAAACACTGGGAAGGTTATTTTTAATGCATTCTAGCTTCCCCTTTCCAGAAAACAAAGCCCACCTGATAATACTGCTGGCAATACTCCAGAATTAAAAAAAAAAAGTACCCTTGATTCTAATCATCTGAAATTGCACACCTTTTTTTCTCCTTTCCAAATGTAACTTTAAAAAAAAATTCTTAAAGAGGAGTCATTGATTTAGATTTAGAAATAGCTTATATTTGTGTAGTGCTTCAAAGTTTGCAAAGAACGAGACGCAGTAGATAGCTCTGAACTCTGAATTAGGAAGACCTGGCTTCAAAGCCTGCCTCAGACACTTAAGAGCTATGTGATCCTGGGCAAGTCACTTCACCTTTGTTGGCCTCCATTCCTGATCTGTAAAATGAGGGGATTGGACTCTAAGGTCACCTCCAGCTCAAATCTACAATCCAATGAACTTTAGATATATTATTGCATTGGATTCTCATGATCACTCTTGGAAGTAGTGAGCAGTCCCATTTTACTGATGAGCAAACTGAGTCTGAGAAAGGTTAGGTATGACTTGCTCATAGTCTCATAGCTAATGTCAGAGGTGGGATTTAAACACTGGGTCTTCCTAATTCCCAGTCCAACACTCTACCTACCATAGAAAGCTACCTTCCAAAAATATATTAATTAAACAAAAAGCCAACCTAATAAGAAGTTACTAGATGATTGGAAGCTTTTTGTCCAAAAGCCTTCAAATTACAAATTGAAAAGAAACTTTAGAATTGTTCCTTTAATGAAATTAAACAAAGAGAACTAATTTCTGTGGCATTGCTAATATCACTGTAATAAAATGATTCTGCACACAATGAAGAGGAAAAGGATTTGCTCATTAAGCAATGTATTAAAATTCCTTTTTGATAAGAAATGGAATACAATGCTATTTGTTCATTTTAAATAATAATGCTGGATGTCAATTGGGAAAAAACTAATGAATAAAATGCAAACATTTATCACACCTGAGCTATGTACACTGGTGATGACAGCATGCTCAGTACCCAAGCAGGTAAGATCCTTGAAGGCAGGATATATCTCGTATTTGTTTTTTGAACTCCCAGAAACTGAAATAACACTTTTCCCATAGTGGGCACTTCATACGTATGTTTGGTGACTTATATTAGAGAGAAAGAGTAATACTAGAAAAAGTCCCATCCAGCAAAAATCTGAGGTGACCCTCGGTTTCCTGTGCAAATTCAGGACTAGCTAGGTCAAATTGGGGTGTGGCATATCTATGATGGATTACTTAGTAGCAGGTTTCAGACATTAGCCTAGCTTTGCATTCCAAGTTCACTCTTTTTGTGACTTTTACAGTATGCATTGTAGATAAAGAGCTGACCTTGAAATCAGGAAAAGCTAAATCCTGCCTTTCCTACATTCTCCTTGAGTTGTGTAAACTCCCAGTGAGAGCCCTAGATAGCCCTATAAGTTTGTAATTTGAAGAGGAAGCCACCATCTGCATTAACAGAAGACTATCCTCACATGGATCTATTCACACTAATGAAATTACAGGTGTGGTAAGAAGAAAAAAAAATTAAAAATTAAATTATCTTTCTTTTTCTTCTATTGAAACCAGTAGGCAGCTCAGAGATGAAGTGCAATCTATGAAGCTAATACTACTTTTTCAGTTCCAGCCCCCTTTTAGAGCAATTTTGAAAGGTCTACGCCCACATTCAGAAGCCAAGACAGGATCTTACCTTAGAAAGCCAAAATAGGGAGGGAGGCAGAGATTGGGAGATGGGGAGGGAACACTTTCCGAGAAGAGTCGCTGGGATCTGGGCACTGGCACCATGCTCACCATCCCAATGCTCTGGAGGTCTGCTCCTCATGGTACACCTCCAATTATTCACTCCCACCCCTGGGTATCCATTTCATGGAACATCCCTGTCCTGGGCTTTTCCCTCCCCCAATCCCTACTAGAAGCTTGGCCAAACTTTCTCAGGGAGAGGCAGCCCCCTATCCTGGTACAACTACACCCGTAATCCAACCGTCTTTGCCTTCCCAATCAAGAGACCTTCTTTCATTTGAAGCAGAAACAACTTTTCTCAGCTGTTTCTGCTTCAAATGAAAGAAGGCCTCCTGATTCCCTT